CACCCACCCAAACACCCACCTCCCCACTCCTCTCACACACTCTTTCTTTAAATTTCCATCATTAAACAAAAGGGGAGGTTGGGGAAGATAGGCACCCAGCACTATAGCCCACCACAAAAAACACTTTTTAAAAAAAAAAGCGTAGATGGAGTGTAGGTGCAGCTTTCCGCTCCCATGGTTTAAAAAGAAAGGCTATTGTGGATGCTCAAGCTCATCATCCAGGCTGATTTTTTTTTCATATCCCGCCCTCCAACACGACTAGACACTGATTTTTCATCTTCCTATAATTATAAATATTTATAAATTTTCCTCTTCCAGCTGTTTCTGGAAGAAAATCAGGAAAAATGATTTCAAATTGACAAGGCTCCCTAAATCATACCTTCGTGAGCAGTTCTCTGCAGCTAGATGGGCAAAACAATCGTCTACCTCGAAATCGTTTTTTTCCCCACCATCTTTTTATAATTCACGCCTCGTCTTTCTACACCTCAGGTGTATGAGCTCTCAGGACAGGTATCCTAACCCGACGGAAATTTCAGGGAGTTTCAAGGTGGTACCTACCAAGGTCGCACACCGTCTTCTATCAATCTAGAGCTCAGGTAGCAGCGCCCGGTCCCCAGCTCCATAGTGACACCTGGAGAGGCCGGGCCTGCAGCGTGGGTCAGGTAGGACACTGGACAGCTCGGCCAACCTGTGCCTGCTCCCAAGGCACAGCGGACGAGACAGCCCCTTGCCCAAGCCCATCCCTTCCCTGGCTCAGGCTCCCTTTACGCGATGAACAAGGCAGAAGGAGAGACGCCCTCCATAGAACCAGAGGTGGGGACGGCTCTCTTACCTGGGCGCAGAAACTGGAGGCATCCGCGGTCGCCGCTGTCACCGCTCACCGCCCTGAGGACCTAATGCCCTCCGGAGAAGGGGTAGAGCGTGAGACGGGGCAGGGGAAGAAGGAGAAAAACAAAAACAAAAAAAGAAGCTAGAGAAAGAAGCGGAAGGGAAGAGAAGAAAGAGAGGAGGCTGCTGCCGCTGCTGCTGCTGCTGCTGCTGCTGCTGCTGCTGCTGCCGCCGCGGCCGCCGAGAGCCCGCGCAGCCCGAGCGCTCGGCCCAGTCTGAGCGCCGCCCCCGCCGCCGGCTCCCTGCGCGGCCGC